GCAGGCTGACCTATGAGTCCGAGGTCCCATATGCGTTTCTTTTGGATCTTCACAGGATTTTTCATCAATGGAGTTATGATCGGAATTTGTTTGAGCATTATCACTTATCAGGTCATGACAGGTGGCAGATGATGGTCTTGTTTTTATGAAATTATGAATTGCTTTATCACGACCGCATAAAAAACGATTACCGTGAATTGAAAAGTGTCTCCGACTCTGAGTTTGCGGAAACGTTTGCAGAGGAATGCCCTACAAAAAGGCATCTAAAGAAATTACAGACCAGCAATGAAAATTTACAGCCCACAAATTACCTTGCTCAATGCTCAAGTACCCATCCATTAGCCGGACTAATTTTCGGCCCGTCGTCGGCCTCAGTGGACGCCTTTCACCCTTTCTCCCAGTGGCCTCTCCCGGAGCCGGCGGCAGTGACCGGAGCGTGTCCGGCGGTCGTCCTGGCCTGACCAGCGTCCGGGGTCCGAGTGGACCCGCGGCCCATCTCAGACGGCGGCGCGGCTGCTGTCTTTGGCACGGACCGTCGCGCGGTGCCGGCCGCTGTGCGTGCAGCCAAGTCGTGCAGTTATACTGCAACGGGTTCCGAGATCCCGGCAGAGCGTTTATTAACACCGCCAGTGGTTGAAACCATCACAGAAGTGGCCGCTGTCGGCGTTCCAAGGAGCTGACAGGGATGCTGTGTGCTGAACAGTGATCACTGATCGTTCGATAACGTCATGGAACCGCAGCCGCGTAGATTGCCGAGTCGATAGTTTGCAGTTGCCGGCAGCCACTGTTCACTGTTCATGTGAAACGTATGTACATAAGCAGCCACCTGCGGCCATCCCATTCGGCCAATTAATACCCTGCTTAGTCATTAGCGGCTGCCTCATGATAGTAAGACGTACCACGTGATTTTTACCTGAGTTGAACATTCCCGGCACGCTTTTTGCTGCTTCACATGGGATCATTGCACAAGCATCATCATTAATTAATGGTTCATGAACTTTGCTAGAAAGGCTTCTGGTTAACCCGCGCCCTGCTGGGGGGGGGGGTGTTTGAACACCCCCCCCCTTGTGGTTTTTCGCGAATATCTCAAAAAACGGCGGCGCGGAGCGCCGCCGTTTTTGGTACACCTTATCATACATCAATTCTACACATGTTGTGAAAATTTCAGACCAAGGTCATTCAAGGTCAGGTCACCAGGTCACTTGAAGTGACCTCACCTCATAAAAAGTTTCAATGTCTGTCATAGCTACACCGAGTGTCCGATCGCTTTGAAACTTTCAGCGAGTGCTAAGAGCAATAGCATGTACAAAATGTATATCTCAGAATTTTGATATCGGTGACCTAAGGTCAGGTCAATTTTGCGACCTCCCCATTATAAGTCAATGGGAGAAAATTGAAATGCGCCTCTTTTGGACGAAAGACATTATAAACACTCCCAAACACCGAATTACAAGTGGTTTAGACACACAGAACATGAAAATGGTGTCCGTGACCCTTGTTTATGCCCTGAGGTCATCTTAGGTCACGAATGGTATCTAGCAGTTTTTCGCAAATAACTTTTGATAGAGGCATGCTAGAGCGATGAAAACGCCTTAGATGTGTTCAGCTCGACGATACGGATCGACTGATATGCAACAGGACCCTTTCCGGTCAGGTCATGACCTTGACCTGAGGTCAAATTTTCAAGTTGACCTTTCAAGGTCAAGTTATAGTTCATTCGATGCGTCTTGACGAGAGGAACACGATGCCGGTAAAAGTAAGCTCGTACATGGCTTGGGTCAAAAGTTATTGCAGAAAAACTGTTTCCGAAAAAATCGGCTATTTTTGCAGTTTTTGCCCCCTGCAGGCAAAACCGTTGACGTTAGGTCAAATCTGAGAGTATTACTCAGAAAGGGCGTTAATAGGGCTATCGAATGCGCTTTTCCGCGGCGCTGTAGCTCTATTGGGTCCCGAGTTATGCGTTGGCTTCTTGGAAACTTTCGACATTCGACCTGGAAATCGGCGAAATTTTGCCTTCAATGACCTCTGGTGACCTGACCTTTGACCTGACCAAAAAATTGACCGAAGTGATTTCGTCATTATTTTTGACGCTCTTTCGAACGCCGCCTTCCCCGTATCGCTACGTGGCCCAGGAGCCGAGTTACAAGGGGGGGGGGGTGTTCAAACACCCCCCCCCCCCCAGCAGGGCGTGGAAATCCAGGACCCCCAGCCGGGCGCGGGTTAATAAGAAAATAGAGAAAGTGAATGAGAATGTATGCTTTAATGATTATGACTAAGACAATCTCTGTCACCGTTCACCCTCCCCTTACCCACGACTGAGGCGGCAGCTCCGGTCGGAGAGCGGCGCTAACTCATTAACTCGGCTCCAGTAATGGGTTCAGATTGTTTGGAGCCGGCTGAGGGCCATTCAGGGCACTCAGCCGTTAAACGCCTTCGTAAATCAGCCAGTGCGCGGTCAGCGGTTATGTTTCCGTCGTAAATCACCGGTGAAACAGGGTCCCGGCCCGCTGTCTGATACAGCCCCCCTATATTGGGTGGTTGCCTTTGTTCTTAGCTCACCATAGGGCGATGAAGCTCATTTTCAGCTTAGTCGCTGTTTAATTGGATGTTTGCTTAATAATTAGAACCTGTTAAATTCCGAAAGTCTGGAACTGATTGATAGGCTTCTGCTGTTTCGATGAGCCAGCTACTGACCGGGTCGAGCCGGGACGACACTGTGGAACAATTTGCGTGACCCGTCCATCACGCGAACGGGCCTTGTTACCAGCGACTCCTGCTGAAACCGTAGATCAAAGGCATGTCTGGATTCCGAACATCCCCACGAAAAGGCGACATTTGACATTTGACAGAGACATAACCGAAAGTTGGTCCGCAACATCCTCTTTCGAATGCCGCAGAGAAGACCACTGGGACTGGTTGTACTTGTAACGTGTTGTGACCTTTGAGAAGTTGCCGATGAAATGCCGGTCTTAGAACTTGGTTATGTTTTCCGAACGAAACTTCCTGACTGAGCTTGGACAAATGTCGCAGATCATCGAGGTAGTATTTCAGTCTACCAAGCGTGACCAAAAGTTCCGGACAAACTTCTATGCACTAACTTATTGTGAACTGTCGGCCATGAGGCATTAGTAGAATTAGCAGAAGACAATTTCTTAAGTTACCAGCACCACATCCAGTTCGCCAGTTACTGGTTTTATGTGATTTTCTCTCGGGATGTAGTCCAACTTTCTCGCTCGTGCTGCAATTAACCCGCGCCCTGCTGGGGGTCCTGGATTTCCACGCCCTGCTGGGGGGGGGGGGTGTTTGAACACCCCCCCTTGTAACTCGGCTCCTGGGCCACGTAGCGATACGCGGAAGGCGGCGTTCGAAAGAGCGTCAAAAATAATGACGAAATCACTTCGGTCAATTTTTTGGTCAGGTCAAAGGTCAGGTCACCAGAGGTCATTGAAGGCAAAATTTCGCCGATTTCCAGGTCGAATGTCGAAAATTTCCAAGAAGCCAACGCATAACTCGGGAACCAATAGAGCTACAGCGCCGCGGAAAAGCGCATTCGATAGCCCTATTAACGCCCTTTCTGAGTAATTCTCTCAGATTTGACCTAACGTCAACGGTTTTGCCTGCAGGGGGCAAAAACTGCAAAAATAGCCGATTTTTTCGAAAACAGTTTTTCTGCAATAACTTTTGACCCAAGCCTTGTACGGGGACCCGCAGTTGCTACTGTACAGCGACCCTGAGTAAATTGTCCCAGCACACTCACAGGGAACAAAAATAAGCTGTCAGAGGGCACGCACAGAAGACCTCAGCTGCTCTTATACAAGGACCGGCAGTCGATATCAATGTTATCGGTTGTTACTGGACAGGACAAACGGCTAGAGTTGGGGTTCGTGTACAGTAGCAACTGCGGGTCCCCGTACGAGCTTACTTTTACCGGCATCGTGTTCCTCTCGTCAAGGCGCATCGAATGAACTATGACTTGACCTTGAAAGGTCAACTTTAAAATTTGACCTCAGGTCAAGGTCATGACCTGACCGGAAAGGGTCATGTTGCATATCAGTCGATCCGTATCGTCGAGCTGAACACATCTAAGACGTTTTCAGCGCTCTAGCATGCCTCTATCAAAAGTTATTTGCGAAAAACTGTTAGATACCATTCGTGGCCTAAGATGACCTCAGGGCATAAACAAGGGTCACGGACACCATTTTCAAGTTCAGTGTGTCTAAACCACTTGTAATTCAGTGTTTGGGAGTGTTTATAATGTCTTTCATCCAAAAGAGGCGCATTTCAATTTTCTCCCATTGACTTATAATGGGGAGGTCGCAAAATTGACCTGACCTTAGGTCATCGATATCAAAATTCTGAGATATACATTTTGTACATGCTATTGCTCTTAGCAATCGCTGAAAGTTTCAAAGCGATCGGTCACTCGATGTAGCTATGACAGACATTGAAAGTTTTTATGAGGTGAGGTCACTTCAAGTGACCTGGTGACCTGACCTTGAATGACCTTGGTCTGAAATTTTCACAACATGTGTAGAATTGATGTATGATAAGGTGTACCAAAAACGGCGGCGCTCCGCGCCGCCGTTTTTGAGATATTCGCGAAAAACCACAAGGGGGGGTGTTCAAACACCCCCCCCAGCAGGGCGCGGGTTAATAGGAACCAATACGATGCTGTTTTTACTGTTCAGGCTGCGCTGCAGGGTATGCATTTGAGTGGGCAAGTGCGACACACAAACTGAACATAGGGACTTTACTGGGCAGCTGCCGGAAATTCAGTTGCTAGGGCAACTTATGCGCACTCAGTGCTTACATTGCACCATGCATTATGTACATTATCGACTCTGACTATAAACTAAAACTGCATATATTCATGCATTTCAATCAGCAGCCCCGCGGCCTTTGGGAAACCGACCTGACCCGTTTCTTCCTGTTCTAAAGCACGAAGCTGAAAATGTGAACCTTTTCGGGCCCAACCTGACCTACCCCATCCTCTGTTTCAGAACATGTCAAGGAGCTGACATGCGGCAAGCTCTACTACCGGACGTTCCACATGGACGAGCACAGGGACGTGCTCTACGTCGGCGCCATGTGAGTGCAGAAACACCTCACAACCGACTTCAGCCACATTGGCTGATTTAATAAAAAGTTAAAAGAATTCAACCGGATCTCAGAGTCAGCACAATGTAGTTACTTCACAAGCGTGTTTATGCAATGATAACTTGTTTATTTTTGCGACATCTCATTTATTTGTATTGTAACCAAATTATTTGTAGAACATAAATTGATCTTATTATTTTGGACTACGATGACACTTTGTTTCAATTGATGATAAGTATGTAACGAGATCTTCACGAGGATAATGCCAATTTACGATGCAAAAGCAGTCCAGGCTGGGCTATAGTATTCGGAAAGCATGTTAATTGGGTCGTTCACCATCCCTGCTGCACGTGACCCGCCTGCACCAGTTTTGGTAAGTGGTCAGTTCTGACCACCAGCCGACCAGCAGTGGTGCAGATATGGGCCAGCCGTCACCACAGTCACCAATCACCATCCATCGGCCGGCTGGTGTGTGCGTGAGGCCATCGACTGGTGCAGTCTCTCATCACCGACCACCGTCCAAATAATCTGCTCTGAGAGCTGCTGTGACGGGCTGTAGTGTATACCTTCCCTGGTCAGTGTCAGTTGTGGAGCCGCTCCCTCAGCGGCAGACCCGTGCTGAGAGAGCCTCTGTATGGCCCGGCCCGCGGCGCGCGGCGCGGCACGTAGCGCCATTATTGACTCCCGTGCGTCACGAGTGCAATAATCGTATTACAGCTGGAATGCCGCCCGCGCCGGTTTGGCGTTGACGGGCGGGCGGGGACGGGCGGGACGGGACGTGTCCCCTCCATGAGTACACTCAGTGATCAGGGGCCTGACGGTGACACTCGGTCAGACGGTGACACTAATGCGGCGCGTGCACCGCGCAGACACAGTCGGCCGGCAGACTGGCCACTGATGACATTGGCCCATAGAGCCGCGGACGACTGTCATGGGTTGTTTCTAACGCTGGACGGCGCAGTGACGTTTATAAAAAAGGACATCGCCGGAAGAGTTAATACTGGGCTAATATCACTTTTGCGGGAACCATGAGAACCATGAGATTCACCATTATGGAAATATGGGAAATGTGGATGGTTATTCATCCGTATGAAAATCTACCAATCTCAGTCTCAGAGATCCAGTGCTATGAAGCTATGAAGCTCCATGCTCGGCAGCTCTGGGACCCGCAGTTGGCGACTTTGCGAATCGTTTCCGGCGCCGTTTGCTAATGACGTCCAATGTCTCAGCGGGCTATCACATTGGGCGGTGAGCTAATTTGTCCGGCGAGGAGCTGGCCGGGCCGGCCGCAGGAAACCGGCCGCACTTGGGAGGCGGCCGGCCAACTTTACTGTTAATTGGAGATGGAGTCGCCGTTTCCAACGACCGCTTCTCTGGAATTAGCATTTAGACTATGGCATTGCTTAGGAAGAATGAAGTCACAAATTCATGAGGATCCAAGTATTTCTGGAAATAAAAGAGGGCCGGCTGCGGAGCCGCCGGCCGGGATGAGTCAGTGACTTTCGGTAGCCTACCGCTGTCCGAGGTCCGGGGCCGATGGCACGATGTTTGGTGGGAACTTACCGCTCCCGTGGGAGCATCAGAGCTTGCTGATCGGACCCATGGCGTCACATCAAACAAACACGGCACGCCGTCCCCACACTCGGTCCCGCCGACCAGTGGCGTCGGCCTGCAGACCGGAATCTGACCGGACAAGCGCTCGTTATTTATCAGGCGACAGATAAGTGTAACATTTTACGGTGGAGTTGACCGGGATAAATGACCGGCTGTGGTTGTTTCTCAGGATCAGGCACTGAATGTCGCCATTTCTCCCCTCATCCACTGTCTCAGAAATATATCCTGTGAACCGCAGAGGTCCGGTCGAGAGAGGGGAATCACGAGACAGCCTGTCCGATGCGACGTCAGAGACGGACCCTTTCGGCAAAATCTGATCGCCCTAAATGCGTTTTGAATCAGAGCAGAGTGTTTCTGAGAACATCGGCGTGTCAAACGGCGACTCTGTCCGCCAAGGGACGGCAATCTATTTGAAAGGCTCGTCGAACTGTCTAAAACATTCCAACTATATTGCAGTTTTATTCTTTTGTTCTGGCCTATATGTTACGTATTTCTGGCGTAACATAGCCCAAATTGATGTGTAATAGATTACTAAAATAACAATAATAAAATAGCTGTGTAATGTGCTTTTACTTTTCAACTCCGTCTTTTATTGGGTTTTGAGCCTGTTGACGGCTTCAATAAAATACAAATACAAGTAATGTGTACCCACATCGGTACAGGCTATAATTTGATGTCTTTCTGATAATAAATTAACGCCTAGGTCACATGGGATGATCCAGTACGAGCTGTCTGTGCGGGGTCGTTGCGTCGATTCGTGAGCTCTGCAAGGAAAGCAAAGCAAGTGATAGCCAAGTGACCGTTTGTTCTGTACATACATATAAGAATACGAGTTTCCATCAGTTTTATCTGCCAACCCACTCTAAATAATACGTTTGAATAGCGGAGTGCTCTCCCTGAATGATATCAGATTCCTCGATTAAAGAGGCGTCACCGAGGCCCATCTACTTAACACCTGTCCATTGGCTGGCCGCTATCTCGCAGCACTGAAGTGCCGAACCTGGTCCTGGGGGGATTCATTCAGCGGATGTCGTGAGCCGGCCCACCCGGCTCGGTCTGAGCGACAGCGGCCGGCCGCTCAGCCGACGCCGCTGAATCTGATGTAAGAACACGAAGCTCCTTCACGCATCTCATGAATTGAGAGAGAGGCTCTCCTGCCTTAACGCGGCAGTTCATCAGACCAGAGACGGCGCTTTACCTCGCCTCAAGACCGTGATTTGGGGTGGTTGCAGCGTTTCAGACGAATGTTTGGTCACCCGTGAAAAGATTGGCATTCAGTGTAGGCTATTGTCGATACCTAGTCCGAGAAAAGGCATTCGCTACATGCCGATGCATGGCTTCAATCTATATGCCATACCTGCGAGTGTTTCTGCATTCATGGAAAGTCTAAAAATGTTCAGTGGGCTTCGACTATTAATTCCGAACCAGCGATCTGTACCACAACCGATCACGTAATCATGCATTCCTGGGTATCATATTTTTAACGCTGAACATTTTCTAACTGGTGATTTAACACCTTTGTGCCATTTATATGCGACGCGTGTTATACTTCTCTCGACTCCGTTACCATTATGTGAGTTGTTCACACATACCACCCTATCTGGCTCTCGCTGACTACTCGTCGCGCGCGCCCGATCACCTGGCCCGTGCAGGCGGCGGCCGCGACTCGGTGATCAATGGCACGGTCGTCTCGGCATGCAGACATTATTAAATATCGAGCCGCCGCCCGCAGCCGCCGATCGACGCGCACTAACCGGGCCCATTAAAATGTGATGTCCAATCGGTCAGAGCGGCCCGCATTGGACACCGGCCGGTCCGAGGGGAGAACATGAGATTGGTCGGGCCGTTAAAGTTTGACGCGGACCGAAAACAGTTCAGGTATGATTGCCCGTCGATCCGTTCGTAAGGCCGTATTTTGCCATAACCGACGGCGCAAAATCAAGACAGCTCTAAAAGGAAATACGCAGCGTGGCTCCTGCCATAAAACTTCGGAGCCCTGGGGAGTCAAAACGTGAAACTGCAGTTATACGTCCAGTTAGCGTTGATCCATCGTTAATGGATGTGGCGCCGTTGTATCGCAAAGTGCATGCGGAGCTCTCGCAGCCAGCACCGGCGCCGACACCACTTGGGGCGTACGCAGAGCGGCCCCTTTGTAGGAATGGTTCAAACTGAAACACATGCCCGGCCGCAGTGAAAGCAGTCATGGAATGCGATTTATGTTGGGCCATTCCGTTTGTTGCGTGCCGGCCGGGCCTTGACAAGCAGTGCTCTCTTTGATGAATTAACCAGGCTGAGCGCGACAACTGCTTGACTGACAACAAATCACCCGAGCTCGATGAATTATTCATGGCGGCGCCAGCTGACTGCTATCTGACATTGCTGAGTATTTTGACACCGCGACATGCAACATTGCGGCGGTTTCGCACTGACACCATGAAAATGAACGCGTTGTGTTGGGTCTTAGTTCACCGCTTCCTTGGCGTAACCGCGTAGGAAGGGGACCATGGGCACCAGTAGCGGCGGAACACCTTCAATTAAGGAAGGGGGGGGGGGGGCGCTGCCGACTTTTGGTCCCATTCTTTCCATGCAACACCCATAGGGCTAATGTTAAAATGGCTAAATCAAGGGGGCACGGTGCCCCGGTGCCTCCCCCGTTCCGCCACATAATATGATGGGCACATTCAAAGGCAACTAGACTTTTCCACTTTTTCAGCGCTGCGCAACATTCGTCCAGCTCGGACATGACTTTCCCAGAGTGAAAATGTTTGGTCATTAATTCAAACTCGCAACGTGATTGAACATTATAGTGAGGAACCGAAGAATCAGTTCCAGTCGGAGACGACTGTACTTCATAAGAAAGGAACACGGGAGTGTAAAGCAATATAAGCCTATCGATCATTGAATCCCACCAAATAAATGTCTGGGAGTCTCTATCACGTCCCATCTCCATTTCCTGGGATTTCGTCGAATGATGGTCGGGGACCAATTAAAGTCGCTGTTCACGCCGGCGGCTTAGCGATGTGATCCCATACAGCGAGGACGTCTCATTGTCGCCTGTGAGATGTGGCGGCCATCCAGCTGCGTGATCCCAGACACTAATGCCGCCGAGTATAATTTACAGCCGCTGTCTATGGCGCGTTGACCGGCCTGTCCTTGATGGTAGGACGGCAGCGTGCCGGGATACGAGTCCGGTCGGTCCGGCCGGCCTGCCCATAAACGGCCTTCAGCGGGCGGCAGCCAGCGGCTGCTGACCCCACCGCGCCGGCCGCAGTGCCGACTCCGACCTAACCTCAGCTGTGAATGACTACCGGCTGCTGACCCATAGCCAACCGCAGCTCCTTCTGAGGTCGACTCAGTCCGACTCCGACCGGCTCTGGTCACCTGACTAATTTTGAATTGCGTTGATCAGCACAGAGGCATGCTGCGCCAGTCATACGTCGGCTTTGTCATGTATAGTTGCAGGGCCTTGGTCTATGTGAGTCCTTACATCAACCGAAAATGATGTCAAACGAGGGCAGACAGAAGACACGTGTCCAACGAGAAAGGGGTCCTCTACCGGAGATGGGTCTCAGACCTTACATTTACGGAATGGACCGAGCTCATCAGCGGCGCAGCTCCCGGGAAGGCCTGCATCTGGTGCGTGCGTGAACCGGTTCACTGGCCTCTGAATCGCTTCATCTCATCCGAAAACACACTAATCATACATGTCCCATAATCCAGACCACTTGTCCGGCCAGGCTGACGACCGTTTTTAAAATTACACAGTCAAGCTGATTCAGAACGTGATTAAGTCCTCTCGCTTGGAGAGCCTCGCTTCAGGCTTGTGCGTGACCCATTCATTTCCTTAATAAGTCGTTCTGCCTCGGCGTCTGCTTGGCTCTTTCCGGAGACAACTTCAACAGAAATCCAGCGCTCTCTCTGCTCTTGGCATGGCAGAATGTGAAACAGCTTCACTCTTTTACATCCGATCATTTCTTTGGACAACTCTCGGATCGATGGCGTACAAAAAGATGCCTCCACAATTGCTCTTTTCTTGCAGACATAGCACAGCCTGTATTGGCATGCACTTTGATCTGCTTTAAAGCATTCGGTATGAATATATTAAAATGTTTGAGTTAGGATGCCCATCGGACCTTATGTTGCTGGGAGCACGCCACGGGATAAGAAACGTCACAATGCCATCATGCCATGTGAAATATGAACTGGTTCGCCTCCTCCACATTAAACATCGCCCTCTCGCCGTGATAGCGCCGTTCGCCAGACTCAGGCAGCCTTACCGTCGTATCCCTCACTGGTATACACATGTCAGAGGTCCGGATAAGCGATCCGGCGCCACCCCGCCGCTGACAGCTGAGTGATGGCTAACATTGCGGTGACAGCGGCTCCTCAGCGACCATCGATTGTAAGACACCGCCGGCCGGGCCGTGGGTATGTGTTTTATGTCCCGTGGACCAGCGGACCATGTGAAGCACGTTCGCTGGTAGTCTGTGAGGGGCTAAGAACGTGAGAAGGTTATGACAAAATGACACGCCCATCGCCACCAACAACATCGCCGATTGCCACTGCATATCACTGCCGCTGCCGTCACCACTGCCATCGCCGCTGCCTCTGCAGCTCGCCTCTTTGCTGTCATGACGCCACTGTCCGGCGTCCGCGACCGGCGCATCCCTAATGCCGAGCACATTGTGTGCGCCGGAACAGACCAGACATATCACCGGCGCTGTGATAGATCCGCCTCCGGTGCCGGCCTTGACACGAGGGCGACGTCCCATCCCGTGGATCCGTCGAACGGTCTGTCTTCCTCTGCAGGGAGAGGGACCCAGCAAAGTGGCGTCTGGGTATATCGTGACTATCAGAGCCTGTTCGACATGATGATTCCATGCCTTCCTCATTCTTCCTCACTTTCAAAGACGACACTTTTCGCTGTCCCATCTTTTGAGTCACTGTCTCATCTTTTAGCACAGGCCTGACCTGTCAGTGGCAGTGGCAGTGTAGGTAGTGCCTCACCTGTCAGTTTGGGCCATTATCTCCCCTGACAGTCGAACCAGCGCACACTGGTCGGAAACGCTCCAGCGAGAGGCCAGCGGCCTTTCCGCAAAAGTTTTTTGCTTGTTATTCCACAACTAGTGAAGCAAACTTCATAAAACTTTGCATACCTTCTCTGTCATATGTAAGCTATCATTTGGATGTCAAGCACTAAATATATGACGTGAATCTGTTAAGTTATGACGTCATAATTGAGTATAATACAGGATCTAGCACCACTTTAAGTGAACAAGGGAAATTGGAAGCTGCTATTCGGGCACCGGGAATGGTTTCATGCACTCCTTGCAAGGTCCGGTGCTTCACTTTAGCATTGTTGACTTTGCGTGACGTCATTTATGACGTCACTAAGGCCATATAAGTTTTTCGTCAATAACTCCTGATCAGATGGAGCTAGAGAGTCGGGAAAGCCACCATTGGACTCGGGAAGACCTGCCGAATCCAGTGATATGCAATATGTCCTCCTTCAACCATTTTCGTGACCTGAGGGGCTCCGACCTGACCTTGACCCGAGGTTAACGCCTTAAGTTGACTTCGCCCGAACACCAAGCATAGCATTCGACGCTCCTGAGCTAGACAAGCACGATGATGCCAAAATCGCGGCAGTGCGACCATTTTTGGCAAAGTAATTAACCAAAAACCGAGCCCGTGCCTTGTGGCACTTACCTGACCTAAGAGGTCACTGGCTGACCTAAGACCTTAAATCGGGTAGTACTTGCTGCGTCTTATAACGGCACACAAGCTCGTTTTTTCCGCGAGGCTCTAGCTCAATTAGAGGCGAAACGGCGAGGGAGTTGTATCAACCCTCCGCGGTCAATATAGAAAACCAATCGGTCCGGCCAGGGCTAAATACCGGAATTGTGATCTAATGTAAAAAGACGGCCCAAGGTAACCTGACGCCAGTGACAGGTGTCCTATATTCGCAGCGTCTTATGTTCACGAAGGTCTCAATTTCCACTTTCTTCAGCCGAGTGATGGTTACTAATAGCAAGGCTCTCTAAATGCAAGCCGTAATCGCCACGCAATATGTGGAAGGCTTTTGATGTCAATACATACATAAATGCAATAATAAAACCATATTGTATGCGCTTTCCACAAAATTCATAAACTCAAGCGCGTCTGTTTTTAATGACCAGTCAACTACGCATGGATGCGTGCAGGCCACACCAGTCAGCGTAAGCCGGGCGCGGCGGCCGAGCCGAAACTGGGGCGGGGCGGGCGGTAGTTGGGTAGGAATAGCGGCTCCTGCAAATTTTGCGCAAATATGCGCAGTTAGCTTTTATGTTGCCCTGGTGTAAATCTAAATCCTGCTTCATCTCACAAAAAATCAGAGTGGGACTAGATGGGACTACCTGTTGTTTCCTTACCTAAACTTTGCAGTTATATTCCAGAATCACTCTAAGAGAGCCCTCATAAAAAAGCTACAGTAGATCTTAGTTGGAGAAAAAGTATACCAAAAAATTTGCACTGACCAGTCGGCAACTTCATAACGAACATTTTGATGCATAATATGTGGGATTTCAATTTGGTGTCTATCAGCAATAAGACTCTGATTATCCGGCTCAAGAAACCTCTTGCTCCGCGTCAGTTTCCGAGTTCTGGGATACCCCATCTTCGGGGGCTGATTACAGTTATTTTTGGTCACCCGGATTAGTTTTTTTGGCCTAATTATAATAATTTGATCAATTTCAAATCGATCTATATAAAAAATAATCCGAAACTCCGGAATCGCCCGTGGCCTCTCGTGAGGGCGTTTCCGACCAGTGTGCAGCGTGCCTCGCTGTCAGCAGAGTCACTGCCTCACCGTCTGTCGGCACCGGTGCACGCCGCCCCGCTGTTTACCGATCCGCATCCAGCAATCAACACAGCACCGCCGCTGCCGCCGGCCGCGCTTTGATTTCAGCAGTAGGGCGCAGATAGGTGGGCTCCGGGCCAGACAAGCCGAGCTGCTGGCAGTGGTCGAGCCGAGCGAGTGTTACGTGACGCCTGCCTGTGCTGCATCCTCATAGGCACCTAACAGGATTTGTGATTCTTGTTCGGCTTGGCCGCTTTTGCTGGGCTTTGTCTGTCGTCTGACTGATGTTTTGTCTGTGTTTCAGGGACCGTGTGCTGATGATAGGACTCCCCGATATCAGCCAGACGGATTGTGATGTAAGTAACTCGCGGTCAGTGGTCTGACAGCAGTCATCAGTCACATAACACCTGTCACACGTCAGCTTACACGCACATGTTCTATCGCCTGCGGTATCTCAGGCCGGCTTATCGCATGTCACTCTGCGTGTCACGCATACAGCTTGTAATTAATCGCATACCTGTCACAATTACATAGTCGGAATGCATGTCACTTTTCACTACCACAAACGATTGCCCATCAACTATCGCTGTCAGTTTTCAAGCGTCACGCCTTGTCACTAGTCGCATATAGATTATAGGTGATACCAGTATAGCGCCTTTTGGGGCGACTAACGGAGCGAGCGAGAGGGTGAGCCTTGCACGTGCGAAATTTCGAGGGAGGTACCTCCAACTGACTTGTGCACGGCACCCTACTAACCGGTCTCTAGCGATGTGCCAAATTTGAGCACAATCGGCCCAGCCGTTCTCGAGATCTGGAAGCGGCACCCTGCACGTGCGCACGTGCAGAATGGGTCCCAACTGACTTGTGCACGGCACCCTACTAACTGGTCCCTAACCGTGTGCCAAATTTGAGCGCCATCGGTCCAGCCGTTCTCGAGATCTGGAAACGACCCCTGCACGTGCGCACGTGCAGCAGCACCCCAACTCTGGCACATGGATATGCAGTGCCTAGTGCCTACCTACATGCCAACTTTCAGCGCAATCGGCCAAGTAGTTACCGAGATATTGCAACAATTACAAAACTGACACCTCTTCGTTTTGCACGTGGCACGTGCATAAGGGGTCACCCACATGCATCGGGATTCGTCCAATACTTGGTAGAAGGAATGAAGCTACCCTACAAAAATTACCCCGTGTAAATCGGTCAAGTGGTTGCTGAGATATAAGCCTCGCAAAAGCGTCCGCACGGCCGGCCGGCCGGTCGGCCGGCCGGCCGCTCATACTCAGAAATTTCCGTTAACCTTCCAGGCGGTGGGGGGGGGCATTTTTTTGCCCCCCCCCCTTTAGTTTTTTCGATATATCTCGAGAACCGCTGCGCCGATCGTCACCAAACTTTCAGTACCCTCCCGGGAGCAGCTAGCGCACATGGTGACCAAAAATTTTTCCAAAGGCTATGATAGGTTGGCCGCTAATGACGTCAGAGTGACGTCATTTTTGCCATTTTCGACCCAAAAAAGGGTTTCGCGGGAAAAGCTGTCAGGCCTACAGCTTTAGAGATACAGAAAAATGTTGGAAAAAGGATTCTCGTACTCAGCGACAACATGGGGGTGGTGGGGTCGTGGAACAGGCCAACTGGGGAGAACAAACGGTGAGTGGGGCGCGGGCAACGGGGACCTAATCAACTCATAGCGGCGACGCGGCTATGGAAGGTTAGGACCCTGCCATGGCGCCACCGAACGTGACCGTGGCTAATCGCCCCGTCGACGGACGCAGGGCAGAGCCGGGAGGGGTGTCTGGAAGGGGCGCGGGGACGGGCGGGCCGTCGACGGAAAGTGGCACGCTCACCAGTCATCGACAGCGACGGACGGTGAACGGAGCGAAACGCGAGAGGAAAGTCTCCCTCTACATAAAAGGTGTGGAATCAAAAGGGCTACAAAACTGCTATTTCGGTTTTTCGAATTTTTTGGATTTTGACCCCCAAAAATAAAAAAGTAGATTTTTTGAATATAATAGCCGAAAAATTCAAAAAGTTTTTTGAATTTCGAAAAAACCGGAATATATGTGATAGCCCCTACCACCTTCTATCTACATACCAAATTTGAGATCGATACCTCCTTTTTCGGCCAAGCTATAGCGAAAAAACTGTTCAAAATTGATGACGTCAAATTTTCAAACTCAATTTTTTAGCAATTCTAGACCTCATAGCGAAAAACAAAGACCACCATTAGACTCCCCGTGACAAGCTGCATCGAATCGATACCCATTTTATGCAAAAATATCAACTTTGAAATTTGACCTTTTTTGACCTGACCTTGACCTGACCTCCACCAGAAAGTGACCTAAACCGTACCTGATGGTCTTTTAACCAATACCATTGAGTTGGAAATGAAAAACTGGCCATAAAAAATGCATCGCATAACCTTAGTAATGTTGGGCTCATGTGGTGACCCTTGGTGACCTTTGGTGACCTGACCTGTGACCTGACCTGGTATGACCAGTGACCTCTAATAGCAACATATGTACTAGACAACTGACGCCTTATCGCTGATTTTCGACAAAATGCGTTTTACTCTGTGTTATAGCGCTTTCCCTAGAAGCCCCGTGAACGGTGAAACATTTTATCTTTGACCTGACCTGTGACGTCATCGGTGACCCCGAGGTCAATGAAACTTGGTTTCCCTCGACAAATTTGACAGGGCTATCGAACGCCGTTTGAATTTTCCGGATCCGTCCAGTAGTTTCGGAGATACGGGGGGGGGGGCAAAAAAGTGCCCCCCCCCCCCCCCCACCGCGCGGAAGGTGGCTGGTAGGCCCACCGCCTGCCGGGTTAATCTAAGGAAAGACTACGCTCGCTTCGCTCGCTCCGTAATCACTTATTGCCAACAAGCTGTAGTCATTCTCAGATCTCATACGCACATGCTGCGTCGCAGTTCAAGTTCCATGTGATGAAATATGCCTCTTGCAATCTATAGACATACATTCCAAATGCCGGCCATCATATGTCGAAAATCTATCCGTATATCATCTCGTTGGCCACGTATCAGTGCAGCACCTTTCAACTGTGTCACATGTGCTCCGTCCTTACCGACGGACAGGGTCTGACCGCTACTATGAAAACAATCCCGGGAACCGCTCGGCAGCGATATATGGTTCCTATGAAGCCATTCTGTCCCACTCGCCGTGAAGGATGTTGGGCCCTATACGTGACACTTCAAAGCCTCACGATGCATGTAACAAGGGACATTATAACGAATGGCGCCGTTCCCGCGCCGGCCTCCAAGAGGTGACTAGTCCAAGTCAGGCTAGCCAAGCGCTCCAACTCATACAAAATCGATTAGGTTCTGTGAAATCCTATAACCCCCGAAAAACAACTGGCATGTCAATGTGAGATTAGTTTCTTTGCTTGAGTCAGCCGGTGGTTGCCTGACATGAGACATCACTCCGCTTGCCTGACACGCTTCACTAACTCTACCGAACCGAAACGCTAGACACTGCTGAAAGACGGCTGGTTCAGAGCTACATGTTCTGTACGGAATGCAACTATAGGCCAAATTTTGGCAACGAATAGCCTTACAATGAGATCTCGGGACAAAAAATGATAATTTAATTCCTCTTAATGCGAATGTCGATCTATTCACCACCCCGTGGCCTTTTAAGAGTTTGGTCTACACCACTATATTTTTCGTCTGAATCAAGTCATTCCTTTATGTGTGCTTACGTATCTAAGTTGTTCATTTTTTTCTTTCGTCGTTCCATCATGACATTCTGCTTACATCCCCTTCCCCAAGCAGGGCCCCACCTTTCCAATATCAGGTTAGCCCCCCCCCCCGCTCCCCGGCCCGGCGCCGCGTTCCACCGTCTCCCGTAAAAAGGCACCGCTGCTGCCACCGCTGCACCGCCGCTGTGGCGCCGCCGAAAACATCGTTACTCGTAATACGGCGGCCCTGATTGAATCGACTCGTGCCGCGTGTCACACGGGGGTGGGGGAGGGGAGGGGAGGGTCAACTTGAGCCGACGACTGTCACGAACCGGCCGATGGGGAGGGAGGGCCACCGTTAGCCGGCAGTAGCGACGGCTGATCGAACGGCTGGAGCGGTGGCACGGAGGGGCTGGACTGCATTGTTGTGTGGTGGACCGGCAATGCTACGGTGTAATCATTTGCAAACAGCTTCTTTTTTTAAGCCTGAAATACAAACCTCCCTGTACTATTCGACTTGATCCTGAATTTTCTAAAATTTGCTTCTATCTTGTCGCTGGAATCTGGATAAGGATTAGCTTAAGCGGCTTATGCCCAATTAGCTGCTGTTTGCCACAATATCACCGATGAGCTGCATGAATGGGACATAAATTATTACATAAGACGTTCTTGGTAGGAAATTACCTGTTTGCAGTGTGTTAGCACCTTCTTATCACTGACTGGTCGTCATGCCAAGTAGGTGTCACTTTGGTATCCTTTCTGCCACTTCTGGCGTGAATTTATTGGCATCATTAGAATAGACGGCACCATGGCATACAGCAATATGTCTTTGCTTTCCCTTTACTGTCAGATCGAAATTTTCCACTCCCCAACGCTTACCACCAAATGTGGGAGGCGCCATAGTGCACCAAATTTGCACAAAAAATAACTCACATTCTACAAAGACTGAATGCTGTTCCCAAACTCCGTGCTGTCATAGCGGCGCGTTGATTTGGTGGGGAAGCGAGGGGCGGCCCTAGGCCGTCGGGAGCTGTGACGTCCGTTGCCGTCATCTGCCGTCATCCACTGTCGTCTGCCCGCCATCGTCGATGACACCCTGATGACGGTCCTGTGACGCAACGCTCGGGGCTGGTGGATCGACCGAGTCGCTGACGACCCGCTTCATTATTTACAGCGCTCGCCGCTCAACTTTGGTCGGCCGGTCGACGACCGGTTGGTGGGGCGGTAGTGGCGATGGCGGCGGCGGGGGTGGGCTGAGCGACGGCCGATAGAGGGTCTCGGTATGTGAGGGTTATACAGGCGACGGCGATGCTTAATAGAATATTGATAAACATTAAACGTGGTGAGCAGTAGCACCGCCTGTCTCATGTAATTTTACAGCTTGATCTGTTACGAATGTTTTTTTTTTCTTTTTCAGAAAAATTCGTTGGTCCTGGAGGCAACAAGCAGCAACGACTGCATGTCAAAAGGGAAAAATCAGGTGAGTGCTTATTGATCGTCAATGAAATAGCGTTGTTAACACATGATAATGCATTTGATGCATTTGCTTGCAACCGGAAGGCTGTGTTGTCACAGGTGATGTTTGTGACATGTTCATGGTGTACCGGGAGAATATTATTGAGAGAGCAGGTTTCCAGTACCTGTGCTATTTTTTTTTTTAGGAAATCATGGTCGACGGCCGTTCAAACCAATTTTTTCCGCCAACACACTCAATTCCATTTCACATATCTATTATTGTTGTCACGATAGAAATGTTATGATGGTGATTTTAATGCTTGACCTAGCTATTCACTTCAATTATTTGTTTCAAATTAATAAGGCCCATATCTTATTGCCGTCAAGCTGCATGCCATTTATGGCGAGTTACTTAAGTTGCCATTTCCCGCGGAAATTAATTCCACAATAATGGCTATCAATTAAGTCTTATTTATTCGCTGGCCCACTTACGGCAGTTATCTATATTATAAATCCTAAATAATCCGCCGTGTGCGACGTAGTCACTTTGTAGCGCTTATTGCGGCGGCGTCCGTTGACCTACGGCCGTGAAATTTTACAGCAATGTGGGCCACCTTTACACGTAGGTCGTATCAAATTTTGGGCATGCTGCGGCCGGGGGTGCGCCCGCGGCGCGTGCTCGCGCGCCCATAGGGTTAACATTAGAATTGGCAAAAACACGCTATTGCTCGGGAACGGTAAGGGTTACGGGGGTGAAATTTTCACGGAAAGTCGGATGCGTGCACCCATTTGTCGTATCAATTTTTCGAGGGTGCGGGTTCAGCGGTGTGCACGTGGTTGGGCCGCGACCGGCGCCGAGCAGAGGGCACGTGCTTTAGGCTCAGTTGTTCGCTTAAAAAACTGAGTGGGCCGGCAGGTCATTGACCTTTGACAACGAAGGCCGACACAAGGCTCCGCTCGCCAAGGAGATTCGCCAGTAAATACAATTAATTTATTTTTGCAACATCTCAGCCGTTTCTGGGCCGATTTAGCTGACACTTGGACTGTCGGTGGTAGTGTAGGGTAGGGTAGGGTAGGGTAGGGTAGGGTAGGGTAGGGTAGGGTAGGGTAGGGTAGGGTAGGGTAGGGTAGGGTAGGGTTGGGTAGGGGATTGTAGGGTAGGGTAGGGAATTGTAGGGTAGGGGTAGGGTAGGGTAGGGTAGTGTAGAGGTGGGGTAGGGTAGGGTAGGTATGTATGAAGATTGTACCACTACCCAACGTAATGCCCACTACTTTGTGGTTGTCGGGTATACTGAAATAATAATAATAATAATAATAATAATAGGTTAGGGTAGTGTAGGATAGGGGTAGGGTAGGGTAGGGTAGGGTAGGGGTAGGGTTGAGTTAAAATAGGGCCTTGGGTAGGGTAGGGTAGGGTAGGGTAGGGTAGGGTAGGGTAGGGTAGGGTAGTGTAGTGTAGTGTAGTGTAGTGTAGTGTAGGAGTAGGGTAGGGGTAGGGGTAGGGGTAGGGTAGGGTAGGGGTAGGGTTGAGTTAAAAAAAGGGCGTAACATACAAAAGACTTGGACACTCCGCAACTATCGCTATTATATTAAAAACAGCTACCCAAATCTACCCAAATAATACAGCTAAAATACAAGCTACTCACCCAAACTAATGCATCCGTCACATATAATTAATCAAAACATATGCAGTTATCGCGCAAACCTGTACCTCTAGTCTATATTATAAATCCTAAATAATCCGCCGCCGCCCACGCCGTGTGCGACGTAGTCACTTTGTAGCGCTTATTGCGGCGGCGTCTGTTGACCTACGGCCGTGAAATTTTACAGCAATGTGGGCCACCTTTACACGTAGGTCGTATTAAATTTTGGACATGATGGGGCCGGGGGTGCGCCCGCGGCGCGTGCTCGCGTGCCCATAGGGTTAACATTAGAATCGGCAAAAACACGCTATTGCTCGGGAACGGTAAGGGCTACGGGGGTGAAATTTTCACTGCAAGTCGGACGCGTGCACTCATTTGTCGTATTGAATTTTCGAGGGGGTTGGTTCAGCGGTGTGCACGTGGTGGGGCCGCGACCGGCGCCGAGCAGAGGGCACGTGCTTTAGGCTCAGTTGTTCGCTTAAAAAACTGAGTGGAAACAGACCCGGCAGGTCATTGACCTTTGACAACGAAGGCCGACACAAGGCACCGCTGGCCAAGGGGATTCACCAGAAAATACAATTAATTTATTTTTGCAACATCTCAGCCGTTTCTGGGCCGAGTTAGCTGAAACTTGGACTGTCGCTGGTAGGGTAGGGTAGGGTAGGGTAGTGTAGTGTAGTGTAGTGTAGTGTAGTGTAGTGTAGTGTAGTGTAGTGTAGTGTAGTGTAGTGTAGTGTAGTGTAGTGTAGTGTAGTGTAGTGTAGTGTAGTGTAGTGTAGTGTAGTGTAGGAGTAGGGTAGGGGTAGGGGTAGGGGTAGGGGTAGGGTAGGGGTAGGGTTGAGTTAAAATAGGGCCTAGGGTAGGGTAGGGTAGGGTAGGGTAGGGTAGGGTAGGGTAGGGTAGGGTAGGGTAGGGTAGGGTAGGGTAGGGTAGGGTAGGGTAGGGTAGTGTAGTGTAGTGTAGTGTAGTGTAGTGTAGTGTAGTGTAGTGTAGTGTAGTGTAGTGTAGTGTAGTGTAGTGTAGTGTAGTGTAGGAGTAGGGTAGGGTTAGGGGTAGGGTAGGGTAGGGTAGGGTAGGGGTAGGGTAGGGGTAGGGTTGAGTTAAAAAAAGGCCTAACATACAAAAGACTTGGACACTCCGCAACTATCGCTATTATATTAAAAACAGCTACCCAAATCTACCCAAATAATACAGCTAAAATACAAGCTACTCACCCAAACTAATGCATCCGTCACATATAATTAATCAAAACATACAGTTATCGCGCAAACCTGTACCTCTAGTCTATATTATAAATCCTAAAAAGTACCCCGCCGTGTGCGACGTACGCACTTTGTGGCGCTTATTGCCGCGGCGTCTGTTGACCTACGGCCGTGAAATTTTACAGCGATGTGGGCCACCTTTACACGTAGGTCGTATTAAATTTTGGACATGATGGGGCCGGGGGTGCGCCCGCGGCGCGTGCTCGCGTGCCCATAGGGTTAACATTAGAATCGGCAAAAACACGCTATTGCTCGAGAACGGTAAGGGCTACGGGGGTGAAATTTTCACTGCAAGTCGGACGCGTGCACTCATTTGTCGTATTAAATTTTCGAGGGTGCGGGTTCAGCGGTGTGCACGTGGTGGGGCCGCGACCGGCGCCGAGCAGAGGGCACGTGCTTTAGGCTCAGTTGTTCGCTTAAAAAACTTAGTGAAAAGCATTAGAGCCGGCAGGTCATTGACCTTTGACAACGAAGGCCGACACAAGGCACCGCTCGCCAAGGGGATTCGCCAGTAAATACTATTAATTTGTTTTTGCAGTATCTCAGCCGTTTCTGGGCCGATTTAGCTGAAACTTGGACTGTCAGTGGTAGTGTAGTGTAGGGTAGGGTAGGGTAGGGTAGGGTAGGGTAGGGTAGGGTAGGGTAGGGTAGGGTAGGGTAGGGTAGTGTAGTGTAGTGTAGTGTAGTGTAGTGTAGTGTAGTGTAGTGTAGTGTAGGAGTAGGGTAGTGTAGGAGTAGGGGTAGTGTAGGAGTAGGGGTAGTGTAGGAGGAGGGGTAGTGTAGGAGTAGGGGTAGTGTAGGAGTAGGGGTAGTGTAGGAGTAGGGTAGAGTAGGAGTAGGGTAGAGTAGGGGTAGGGTAGAGTAGGAGTAGGGTAGAGTAGGAGTAGGGTAGAGTAGGGTAGGCGGGCGGGCGTGCGTTGCGGGCGTTTTTTGCGGCGGTATTTGCGTTTTTTTTGCGGTGTTTGTGTTTGGCGGCGGGCGGGCGGGCGTTGCGGGTGTTTTTGCGGTGTCTGCGTTTGGCGGCGGACGGCCGTTTTTTGCGGCGGTTTGCGGCGGGCGGCCGTTTTTGCGGTTTGCGGCGGGCGGCCGTTTTTTTGCGGCGTTTTGCGGTTGCCGGCGGCCGGCCGTTATTTGCGGTGTTGCGGTTTGCGGCGGGCGGCCGTTTTTTGCGGCGTTTCGCGGTTGGCGGCGGGCGATGCGGGCTTTTTTTGCGGCGGCGGTGTTTGCGTTTTTTGCGGTGTTTGCGTTTTGCGGCGGACGGGCGTTTTTTGCGGCTTTTTTGCGTTTTTCTGCGGTTTTCGACGGGCGGGCGATTGTTTCTTTTTTGCGAAGTTTGCGTTGGCGTTTTGCGCGTTTTGCGGTGTTTGCGTTTTGCGGCGGGCGGGCGGTTTTTCACAATTCAAGTCCCAACCTTCGGATCCGCAGTGCTGTTCGACAAGCGCTGCCCGGGCCCGCCTTACAGTTTAATTAAAAACAGCTACCCAAATCTACCCAAATAATACAGATAAAAATACAAGTCAATCACCCAAACTAATGCACCCGTAACATAACATAAATCAAAACATACAGTTATCGCGTAAACCTGTACCTCTAGTCTTCCTAATAAAAGCACCCACAGTATTCATAATTTTTGCGGCAAATGTCACTGCTGTATAACGTTTCTAATATCGCATGTAACTGCGCCGCGTTTCGAGATGAGATGAGAACATCTAGATGTAGCGAGACTCGTACGATGGTAAATGGAAACTTTTGCCTCAGTACTCAGCAGTGGGAGACGTTAGCAAACTGTTGAGTGGTGAAATGAAATGTCTGGATATGTCGTATTTTCCTCTGAGATCCCTCTCTGGCGTATTTTATCCTCCCAATCTCGGCGTAATGGAATGCTGCTAGCCAGATACGGACCATCGAAGAGGCCCGACGCATGCTGTCGGATCTCCTCAAAGTACTGCTGACAATTGGATACAGGATGAATGGAAACGTCTATGTGCATTGCAATCTTTTCTTTTAAGATAAGAAAATACAGCTTTGAAATAAATACTGTTCTCCTGTTCAAACCATATGAATATGACCATCTGCTTTGGGACTCAATTGCTGTGGGAGCACATGTGAATTTAATACAATGCGTGAAGGTGTCGATCGCGACCGTTGAATTCATACCGACGAATTAAAGGGACTATCCCACCTTCTAAAATGTTGTTAAAACCAGTTAAATTGTGCCCGACTTTGTAGATTGGATGACCAGGAACACGGTTCTGGCATTTATTTTTCATTAAACATCTTAGGCTTCCCATATTCCAAACACAAACTTTCAAATATGTGACGTCACAGCCCAAAATTACCTCCTTCCCCAGGCCACATTACTGTCATAAAGCTGATTCTTTTTACTCTGTAGGCACCACAACAAAGTTCAGACAAAGTTTTAAGCGATTTTTCAACGAACAAACCCATTTAAATCAGAATGACTAAACGAGGTGACGTCACACTAACGGTCGCTCCATGTTGAAGATAGGGCCTTGTACAAGGCCCATTTTCAAATGAAGGGAACAAATTTCTTCAACACCAAGAGGCCGCGGGGGTTGCAACCTAGATAGATAGTGGTTTCTGAACCTCGCTGCAAACTTGGCTATCTCAACTCAAACCCCATGTTAAAGGTGGGATAGTTCCTTTAACTGATCCGTCAGCTAGAGGACCTTCATCCTGCACACACACGCACACACACGCACACACACACGCACACATGGCAGTCGAGTCGGCCTCCCCACCACCCTAATGGGCATGTTGCATGCCGGCTGAGAAATGACTGTAGATTTTGCCCGGCCAGCAGTGTAAAGGAGCAAATTGCGACGCCAACGAATATTTAAGTCATATGGATCATAATAATTAATGATGTCTGCAGCCGCGCTCATCGTCCGGCAATTGATTTGCCGCTTGGCTGTCGATTAATCATTGGCAGCCCGGCCGGTCTCAGGTACGAAATAGCGCCGATAATATTCCGGCTGCACATTTACGTATGCCCTTTCTCACCAATCATGGCGGGCGGCGGCATTCCTGCAGGCTGCATTTGAGCCGGTCGTCTCGGCCCGCCGGCGGCTGGGCTGGTATGGTAGCCGCTCCCGCTGTCTGTGAGCACCAAACGGACGGTGTCGAACACCGGCCCGGGACACTCGCCGGCGACCCCAGGGACCTTGTTTGGCCTGCAGAGCGGTGCCGCGCGAGCAGACCGGCCTTTGATGCTGCGGAGCTCGGTAGGATGTTGTGCTGATCTCGATATCAGCTGCCAGGACCGATGTTGTCACTGTTTGGAGTCAATGCCGGCGCTCGTCCCCTCGACCAGAGTCTGATAGATGGGGCCGAGTCCAGTGGCAGAATGGGAGTCCCACACGCCGAACCGGCTGAACCGCTGATATATGCCGCCCATAAATACCTGACCCCGGCCGAACTGATTTACTGTCAACACGAGGGATTACTCCGCGAAACCCACTAAACTATTCAAACCAATATCTTCCTCTAATATTGGTGCCGTTCTGCGTCTTAGAACAGACCGAATGCGTCGGTTTCGAGAGATTTTTCGTCTAAAAGGGCGACTGAAGGATGCCTACTCTTTTATCAGCTCGTCTTTTCCAATGGTCTATTACTTGCATGAAAGCTTCTGACACCTAATTCGGCTCCATAACCACATAGTGCCGTATCTGATCTGTTAGAGACGGCTTTCATTTCCTGCCTGCGTGGCGGTCGTTCGATGCCGGCTGCTCCCACTCGTTTTTTCTTCCAATAGTGCGCTCCTTGTTCTGCCGAATCGCTCGGATACTCTCGCTGCCCTCCCACGGCGCGGACGACCTTCCTTGGTCGCTGGGCTGGCCTCATGTGCATGTTTCGCCGAGTGGAGTATCGGGCCAGCCCGCCGCCAGTGGCTGGACCGGACCGGACTCCGCGGCTCAGACTGGGACGTTCCCGCTGGCCGGACCCGGCACTCTCGCCACCGGCACCTCCCGGCCCGTGCCCGGCCTCTCCTCCTGCATCCAGATGACTGGCGTAAATTTACTCCACTCGCTCGACATGCAACTCACGGGTGCACGCGATAAGTGCCGTTTATTTATTTATTCATAGAACATCATTTACAGACGTCAGACGGCGAATTCATTAACTTGTCTCTGGACGGTGGCACCCGTTCGAGCTGTGCTGTGCTTATATTCTTACGTCAGTGATCAGAGCATTGAACTTCTTACGTCAGTGATTGGGACAGTGAACATTGATCATTTACCCTCCGCAGTCAGTGCCGATCATGAGTTGTTACCGCTAATACCTGACCGGACCGGGCAACAGCCAGGCCCAGGTATTTTATCTGGTATTTTCTGACATCACCGATGCAGCGTAGCTAAGTGTAAATGGACCCTCTGATGTCACCGATTTGGTCCTTATGTCGCTGGACGCTGTGACACCGCCTGGTCGCTGTGGCGTCCTTGCATTGTCCGCTAACCACCGACCAATGCTACACACCAAAGGTGATGCTCCGATAGACGGGATGTTATCGGCACAGCTTACATGCCACGGCTACTGGACGTCGACAGTTTATCAGACTTTGTGGCTGCTGTGCTGACACGAGAAATTTACGAACGCTTCTGAATTACCTACTAATTTACGACGAAATATTTTTCCCGTGCGTCGTCTCAACCTTTTTGCCATTTTTTGTTTTGTTATTCATCGCGTGTTATTCATCATTACTTATGAACCTACTGTGCTGCTTGTTTTTGGATTGTTGCGTCTGTTTGCTTTGAAGCAACGGAAGACGCTGATATGATCGACGAAAAAGGCGATAAGATTATTACGGAGCGAGCGAAGCGAGCTATAGTCTTTCCTTAGATTAACGGAAATTTCTGAGTATGAGCGGCCGGCCGGCCGGCCGTGCGGACGCTTTTGCGGGGCTTATTCTCAGCAACCACTTGACCGATTTACACGCGGTAATTTTTGTAGGGTAGCTTCATTCCTTCTACCAAGTATTGGACTATTCCCGATGCATGTGGGTGACCCCTTATGCACGTGCCACGTGCAAAACGAAGAGGTGTCAGTTTTGTAATTGTTGCAATATCTCGGTAACTACTTGGCCGATTGCGCTGAAAGTTGGCATGTAGTTGGCACCCACTAGGCACTGCATATCCATGAGCCAGGGTTGGGGTGCTGCTGCACGTGCGCACGTGCAGGGGTCGTTTCCAGATCTCGAGAACGGCTGGACCGATGGCGCTCAAATTTGGTACACGGCTAGGGACCAGTTAGTAGGGTGCCGTGCACAAGTCAGTTGGGACCCATTTTGCACGTGCGCACGTGCAGGGTGCCCCTCCCAGATCTCGAGAACGGCTGGGCCGATTGTGCTCAAATTTGGCACATCGCTAGAAACCGGTCAGAAGGATGCCGTGCAGAAGTCAGTTGGAGGTACCCCCTCGAAATTTCGCACGTGCAAGACTCACCCCCTTCGCTCGCTCCGTTAGTCGCCCCAAAAGACGCTATACTGGTGGTATTGGGCACTGCTACATTGGCAAATAGCACATGAAACCGCTAAATAAGTGCACATGCATCACTCGTCCACGCTCTCATATGTTGCATCGCCTTCACCCGTTCTGTCTGTTCCAGCACTACGACTGCCGTAACCACATCCGGGTGATCCAGCCGATGGGAGACGGCAGTCGACTGTACGTGTGTGGCACCAACGCCCACAACCCCAAGGACCTCGTCATCTACGTAAGTAAATATCACTCTGTGGAGCAGGTCATCTCATCTAAGCGTCATTTATCGTTGCATCCTATAAGTTTTCTACAGGAGTACTCGATCTATCTGCGTCCGGCCAAACGGAAACAAAATATAAATGTGTAAATCATGAGCGTCGTGTAGGTCGCCTACGTCAGGAGTTTTACAAGAGAAAGTCTACACACATAGATACGGTTTGTTATAATTAGTTTGGATCTTATATGTTTCTGCAGTGCCTTTTTAACCCTCGCCCGCACATGCCATTTTCCCATCCTAGAACGCACATGGGGGGGGGGGTGGTTGCCACCCCCCGCGCCATTTCGTTCCTGTTGGAGATAGAGCTTAGCGGTAAGGACCAAAAAGATTCTTTGGGAAGAGACGAATCCAATGATACCCAGTTTTACCTTCTCAGGTCAGTCATTGACCTTCCAGGTCAGGTCAAACTAAAAAATGTTGCTGTTTTGGGTCACCGTTGGATATCAAGTGCGCTGCTTATCAAATACCGATGACGATGCTGTTTTCTGGTGCCAAGCCAGCTAGAACCTCTTTGTCACACTACCCGACCAGAATTTTGCTGCTGAGGTCATTTCAGGTCAAGTTAGGTCAAGGTCAATTATATGTGTTTGTATGTCTGTGTGTGTCTGTGTGTATACTGATGTGTGCACCGATTGTTTTTGGGTCCATATTACATGAAATCATGATCTGAGAAGCTTTTACCAAAAATGCAGTCAAAAAACTTCACAAAAAATAAATTCGGCTTGCCTAAAACGCAATTATCTTAGATGACCTAGGTTGACCTTGACCCTGACCTTGACCCCTGTACATCGTCGAACAACATGTTCCATGATAGGTGGGAGGTAAGACTGGCAAAAAAGGCCGAAATCAGGGTGTCAAAAGCTCACAAGGCCCATGGCAAACGCAAGATGTTGAGAATTGGCCATTTGGGTCATGACATGACCTGAGAAAGAAGGTCATATCTCCGAAACCAAAAATCACAGAAGCTTGAAATTTTCAGTGGACATCAAGATAGGATAGAGGAGCAGCTATACGAAAAATCAGCTTTCTAGCTTTAAAAATGTTGAGTGCAGAGCAGAAAGACTACCTGGGGGGGGTGGCAACCACCCCCCCCCCCCCCATGTGCGGGCGAGGGTTAATAGTCCCTCTCATAGAAGAACCGTTACGGGCCGGGGAAAATCATTTACCTTCGCCTGGTGTTTTTTTTTTCATTTGTGCGGGGGAGAAGGTGGGTGGCTAATGGTAGCCTCTGATCTGGAGGTGTGTGTATCCGACGTGGGGTGGCTAATGGGTGCCGCGCTCCTTATGGTCATCAGGGAGCTCTTCCTATCCAGCTCGCGGGGAACGGCAGTGCCGGCTGCTCGTTTGTTAGTCTGTAGCAGACTGTTGTGGGGAGGGACGTGTCTGGTGGTCTGCTCAATAATGACGGATAAATTAACTGCGCCACCCTCACCCCTTCAGTTTGATGCACCCTGTTAATCAGACATTGCCTTTTAACGATGACGAATTGTTGAGGGAAACAGGAGGGGCGCGGACCGTCCATAAGGTACCATTAGCGTAATGGGCCAGCAGAGACACTCCAGGCGCCAATGGGCCTGACTCATACCGCGGCTTCCCACATATCGGGGACCGGTCTGTTTTTGTGTTCGTTGCAGATGGTGCTCTATTTTGTTTGGTTGCGGTGATACGCTTTCGCTTGTCGGTCACAACTCACAAGGTTATGTTTTCTCATGCTGAAAAACAATCAAAACTAAGTGTTTTCCCCATTGGTGCGCGTGACGTTCAACATCTACCTCTAAGTGCCATAGCCTTCGCCTCTCTGACTCACCCCTCTCTTTATTTCACAGGCAAACCTGACCAGCCTGCCACGCACCGAGTTTGTGGCCGGCGTCGGTAACGGTATCGCCAAGTGTCCGTTCGACCCGGACGACAATTCGACGGCCGTGTGGGTGGAACACGGTAACCCGGGCGGCCTGGCCGGCCTCTACTCCGGCACAGTGGCAGAGTTCACCAAGGCCGACAACGTCATCTTCCGCACTGACCTCTACGACACCGTCACAAAGCGGAAAAAGTACCTCTTCAAACGCACCATCAAGTACGACAGCAAGTGGCTGGACAGTAAGTGGCGCATCCTTCAGCGGGTGATTGGTATAGGTATGCTAAATTCGGGTTGTAAAGGTCTTGCTTTAAATGCAGGGCAAAGTCTTTACAACAGATAACCATGAATAATCCCCAAACATGTGTGTGTTGAATATATATGAACATGAGACTTTAATATCATGACTGAGCTCTGTCATAGTTAATCGACCTGATGCATGTTGGTTTTGAGATGATGGTTTATGGGCGTGTTCGCGAATCAAGAGCATTAAGAAATATAACCATTCTGTTACAGAGCCAAACTTTGTCGCATCGTACGACATCGGGGAATACGTGTATTTCTTCTTCCGGGAGACGGCGTTAGAGTACATCAATTGCGGAAAAGCCATCTATTCCAGGTGAGTAAACACTTGGAGTGCGCGGCTTACAAACAGATCAGGAAGCTGCCGTGTAGCCCGGATCCATATTTACCCGGTAACGACCTCTTTGTTCACCACAGACTCTCATAAGGGCAAGATTGATGATCTCGCGGGTATTGAAAATCATGCTTTCCAAACCCCATTACCTGGTTATTGATCTGAATGCAGAGGGAAGGGTTCCGTGTATGGGTTTCTCGAGAATAACCAACTCTGCATGCTATGGTTATCCGTACTGTTTTACATTCCATGCCATTAGCTGTGGCCGATGTGGTCACTGTACGCCCCTCGTGCCTAGCGGGCTGACCGTTCTGGGTCGGAGCGGCGCTCGGTCACACACGGCCCGCGGACCAGCCATTGACGAATGGCCCCTTCGCGTGTGTCGAAACGGCGAGCGGTGCGCTCTACTCCACCAGTCCGTGTATATTGCTGGCCAACGAGGCTCGAGTAATGGACCTCCATGGTGCGCTGAAATATGCGGCCGTTCTGGCCGCGGTCCGGCGCGACACCTGAATTTACGCCGCACCGTCGGTCCGACGTCGGAAATGAAGCTGCTAACTGCAGGTACCCGCCTCCCGGAGCGTTGAATTTCCACCGCTGTGTTTCAGGGTGGCTCGCGTTTGTAAGAAGGATACTGGAGGTAAAAATATACTGACCCAGAACTGGGCCACGTATGTGAAAGCTCGCCTGAACTGCTCCATACCCGGCGAGTTTCCGTTCTACTTCAACGAAATCCGTGAGTGTGTAGCGTTTGATTTTTAGACGTGTCTGTGTTATAGGAGGTCGCCCGGCTAATGTGCTTAGATAAATAATAAAATGTAAAGTTCATAAGCTTATCTTTTAATTCTATCACCAATTGCACCTACCCTCAAGGCCATCTGTCGCCCCGAATTGATAGCAAAATGTCAATGACGGTGGAGTATATTTTTCTCAAGTGGAAAGAACACACAGTTTATTAATCGTTTGAGTGCATATTTGATTGTTGATAAAGCAGTCCAGACGTTTGTTGATAAAACATTCATCGACCACCCGTGGTGCGTTGCCTGGCAGTTGCATAATGCACCTATTTCTAATAATGTGCGTCATCGGGGGCGTTATTTTGGACGATGACGCACGGAGATGCTTCAATTGCCCGCATTCAGATGATCTCTCACATTCCTATCGCTCTCTGCAGCTGGCTTCAATTGCCGTTCAACCATCATCACTCACCGCCGCCGTGTTTCAGAGTCGGTGTACAAGGTGCCCGGTGACGACACGCGCTTCTACGCCGTCTTCACCACGTCCATGACCGGCCTGATGGGCTCGGCCATCTGTACCTTCAGCCTCGCCGACATACAGGTTCGTCCTCTGGTTCACCCTTCCCCAAGGGAGAACTAGATGAGATCGTCCCCGCCACCATAAAGAGGGCGGAGCTAGGGTGGGCCTGGGTGGAGCGAGGTAGTCCCTGTCCCTTGCAGAGGGCCCAGTGGGGATGAGATCGTCCCCCGCCCCCAGGAGAGGCCCTAGGCGGGGTGAGGTTGTCCCCGTCCGTATAGAGGAGAGCCCGGTCGGGGTGAGATCAACCCTCGCGGCCCCAAGGGAGCGTCCCGGGTGGGATGAGGTCGCCGTCCGCAGCCGAGGTAGCTACTGTTATGATTGGCCGATAACTACCGAGCCAAACACTGATGGTGATGATGACGGCCGGCAGAGCCGACCCTGACGCTCCCCTGGGGACCTTGGTGGGCGGTAGACTCCGGTTGGGGATGGCCCAGGTCACAGCGAACGGACGAGCTATTCTCGGCTGGTGGTGAGGGAGGCTCAGTCGCTGAGGGTTACCGGTCACGGAGATCAGTCGTGACCCCCGTCGACGGACGTCATCGCTGGCGCGTGAATTGCGACCGGCACTACGCCAGGCCCGGTGCCAGTGGCTTTATTGGGTCTTTTCTGGAAACCGGAGCTGGCAAAGAACCACCTCAGCGACTCAGTTTGAGAGCCGACCGCACCGGTCGGCTTTGATCTGCTATTCGCGACATGTGAACCCCGCGCTGCCAGCCATTGTCCGGCGATTGGACTCGTTTCGCGGAAGAATGCCCGGTAGCTTGTTCGTGCAGCACCTGCTCGGATTGAATCGCTGCTAATGGAGCCCCATTGACGTGCCATCAGCCGCAGGTTTAATCCAGGAGCCAGTGTTTTCTGATTAAATCGACTTATGTAACGACGTCGACTGGCTGCTCATTTTCTTTTGTCAGGGAATCACTGAAATTCGAACCACCTTACATTTGATATCCAGCCATTGCGGTGTCCAATAACCACCTTATAGCATGTGACGGTTCCCGTTTTGAAGAAGACAATATGACGTGTTTATCTTCCCTCAGGATGCGTTTGCCGGCAAGTTCAAGGAGCAGAAGACGTCCAGCTCGGCATGGCTGCCGGTCAGCAACTCAGCCGTACCGGAGCCCCGGCCGGGACAGTGCGTCAACGACACACAGACATTGCCAGGTGCGTCATCGGGCTCCAAAAATGGCCATCGGAGTTCTTACAGCCTTGGTTTGCAATTGTTGAACACCGTATTGCATCTCATTTGTAAATCCCTCCAAGAATTCCAAAGTTCGACACTTGATTGATTAAAAATTTCCTTATTGAATGAACTTTGCAGCTTTGATGAATCAAAAATAATCTGAATGGGCCAAGTTATTAACCAGGAATGCGATTGGGTAAATTTAGAATGACTAACAATAGCCGCTAATGAAAGCCTATTGATGGTTTCTTTCATTACAATGCACAGCGCTGTCTCGGCCAATCCTTTCCCGTGGCGCCGTCTGTGATAACGCTGCCTGGTTAGCATTACACAGGTCTTCAGCATTGTCTTTATAGACGCTGATAGCGACTGTCTATTTGATGACAGCTGTTGCAGCCGACGCCGTCACACATCCACTTATTGTTCTCCCCGACAACCGGCTCGGAGACATAGCCTGAGCAAACACAGCGCCCGCTAATCATTCAACTCATCCTCACGGCCGGGCGACACGGCTCTTCTTTTCTCACCGCCCGTCGTGCGGCACATGCAAATCGGTATTGACTGGGACGGGGCCGCGGCGTGTCACGGCGGGGTGCAGCACAAACGTTTGTATAGCTGCGAGCAGACACCAGCGGTCGGCGTCCACCGTTAGTTCTGCAGCGCCGCGCCGGCAGGGTCCTCCCTACCGAGCAGTGAGGTCGGGCCGGCTCCGAGATATGGGTGTTTGTCTGGCAAAACCGGCGTTTGAGAGTTTCCGTAGCGCTGAATAATCGACTTGTTTTGTTATGCAATGAATGCTGATACCAGTCGGTTCGTTAACCATTTGGTTCACAACGATCAACAAGACCTTGGCAAACTTTGGTTAGAGCTTACTTCCCGACCCCTACCAGGGGACTATTTGGAGCTTCCCATTACATCATGTAGCCCTTGTAGGCATATCTCCTTACATTAGACAGACTGCATGTTTCAGTTGCCTCCCTGACATCATCCCCGCCGTCTCTCTGACCCCCTCTCCCCCTCCCCCACAGATATGGTGCTGACCTTTATCCAGTCGCACCCGCTGGTGGACCAGGCGGTGTCCCACCAGCGGAACCAGCCCGTGTTCTACCGACGGGATCTCGTGTTCACCCACCTGGTGGTCGACAAGGTCACCTCGGGCACCTTCGGCAGCGACCGCGAGTACACCGTCTACTACGCCGGATCCAGTGAGCATGACGGGAGAGCGAGGGGCGGGAAAGAGTGACATGGGTGGTACAGGCCCACTGGTACTTGCATCAGCATTCCTTTCCCCGATGCCATGTGTCGGGTGTTACATGTTACGCGAGCGCGACTACTTTTAGTAAAGGGAAAAGAAGTACTAGACATAATAAAGAATATCCGCAAAACAATTTTCACGAAATACGGCTCAGGCATTATTGTAGCACATAACCAAAGCCGTGTAAACGGGTGCTAAAGTGTATTCATGACTCCCCGAGTGTGGCGCTTTGTTTCACACTGTAGCTGGGTGTCATGCAAATAGCGACAGCGTTCTGTACACACCGCAGAGCCCAGCTGCGGCGTCCAGCACTCGCCCAGCGCTCCTCAGCAGTGTTCGACCGTGTCAGCGTGTCTGACTAGCCGTCCCGTTCCCAGACGACGGTCTGGTGTACAAGATAGTCGAGTGGACCGCGGACGACCGGTCGGCGGTGCGCTCCGAGCTTCTGGACGTGTTCCACGTCACGGCGCCGGAGCCGGTCCGCAGGATGGCCATCTCTCGCAGGGTCAGTGAGGGGAGTCGGGCAGGCACTAGGATCCTTTGGCTGATGCATGGGCATCAGGCACTCAGTCATGAAACGCTCCAATAAACAATAGAAGGTAAATTATCAATATATAAAAACTAAAAAGGCGTCAAGCCAGCGTGCACACAGCTCTGTCTAGAGTTCCTACACTCCGTGTGATAAGTCATTCTGTATTGTTGAAACCCATTGTATAACTTTCCTGCTTGCATTGAAGCCTGAGAGGTCCGCATTTCTAATCGATCCCATCCTCACTGCATACTAACAAACAGTGTCTATCAGCTCTGCCGCCGACGCGACGGTCCGCGACTGCTGATGTGTTGCTTGCACCGAGAGATATACAGCATTGCGTCATGTGAAGGCTTGTTTGACAGTAATTGTTAACGCTGAGTCTGTTGAAATGATGATCCGGTCATTAGAAAGGGACTCATTATGCATGGGTAGCAATAATTCAACGGTAATTACAACTTCTTTATATGACATGAGGCTGGCGACATGTTGATGACATCAAAACTAATTATTTAGCTTTAAGCTATATCTAATTATATTTAGCCTGGTGTCCATAGGTGTATGGCTGTAGGCTGAACGGTCTTGTAAGATGATACTAATCCATCCTAAATATGGGAATGTTGATGTTCTCATATATTTATGACAAATTGCCCACGTCATCTGCCCTAATTACATCATGCGCCACAATGACGTCATATTATCCTCCGGTGACCTCACCGTTGTTTACGGCCGCAGCACAAGTCTCTGTACGTATCGTCGGACACGGGGCTGCGTCAGTTGCACCTGGAGATGTGTAACGGCAGGGCGGACAGCTGCCTGCGCTGCGTCCGGGACCCCTACTGCGGCTGGGAGAAGGACTCCCGCACCTGTCGGCCCTACGTGCCAGGGTAGGTCGGACCGTGGGTGTGTGGTATATCCTGTACGAACAGTAAAATGATTGTATCTTACATTGCAATGAGCCAAGGCAATGAACTATGAAGTGCATTTATCAGTGTTAACGATCGATAGTGATCTGTTTGTTTGCGTAGTAGAAATGTATACCTCAGGTTTGTATTTCTTGAAAGCCTCATGTTTGTTTTGTTTAAAGTAAAATATTTTGTTTGAAGTTTTATTAATTAGTGCATGCATATTGCACAGTCTCTGCTTGCACGTTCTACATTGTACACTGAGTAGCAAAACAGTAAACACTGAGTAGTAAAACATTAAACGCATGCTGATTTATTCCCCACTGCGTGGTTTCAGCCTGCTGCAGGACGTGACGGGCTCCCAGACGGGTATCTGCGACAGCTCAGTACTCAGGAGGAAGGTGGCGGCCACCTGGGGTCAGGCGCTCCACCTGGGCTGTAACGTCAAACTGCCCGAGCAGAGGTCGCACCAGCCGATCGACTGGTACCTCTGGAACAAGGAGCGCGGGCGGCACAGGTCAGTGACATACTGTATATCACAGCAGAGTGCAGGTGCATAATTTCAGAGGGCTAGATATCCTCGGCAGCTGTCCTTCCGACACGTGGAGAGCTGGGTAAAATCAGTGCTCGCTGGTGGCTTGTGACATTTGATCGTGTCCGGGCGTCCCGACCTAGACATCACATCTGATCTGTGACCCTCGACTTTCGATCTACCTGCGTGGTCAATGATCTGGGCCTGTAGCCGATTGTCTAACCCATGCCCCACCCCGTTACCAACCCCACAGGCTGGAGCCGAGCCCCTCCAAGTACGTGCCAACGGTGGGCGGAGGAGTGGTGGTCCTGTCTGCTACTGAGCAGGACGCCGGCCGGTATGAGGCGCGCCTCGGGGAGGACCTGCTCTGCGTGTACACAGTCACAGTGGACACCCACCGCTGTTCGGCGCCCGACAAGTCGCAGGTACGGCCGCGAGAAAGGCACTCGAAGTCGAGGAAGGCGTTCCGCTATTACGCATCAAAACGACGTTACGACATGCTAGTTGGTTGAATTTGTTGAGTTGAATATTGATCCTGGGTGGTGACCTGTTAGCTAGTAACAGATAGTAAGGTATCACGATGTTTATTGATTTTCAATACCTTTCGATCTAAGAAGTGTAGGCCTGAACCAATGTGTTGTGTATGCCTGCTGAGTGCTGACGTTTGGTGATGGCGTTTCAGGAGTACCAGAAAGTCTACGCCGACTGGTGCAACCAGTTTGAAAAGTACAAAAGTGCCATGAAAGCATGGGAGAATAAGCAAGCGGTGAGTCTAATAGACCTAAGCCACTGTTAACCGTCATTGTGAGATTGCCTGGATGACGGACTTATCATTAGACTGTGTCTGAATGGCAAAAATATAAAGCATGTGTGTACTGTGTAATATTGTACCGCTTGTCACTTTAATTTTGCGGCCAATTCGCAACAGCGGAGACTGCGGCTTTCGGTCTCGTGAAACGTCCGCGCACGCATTAGTTTTGCTGTCAAATCATAGATGGCGCTAGTATAAACGCCTGAAGTTATACTGTACCGCATAGCACATATCTGCCGTTGAAGCGTGCTTCGATGGCTATGCAACTCGCGACGACCGCGAAAATAGTTTTAAGGGGAGGCAGTATTGTTCGAATTAATGTTTTGTTGTTTTAGAATGTGTTTAGGACAGACGGTCGTTTGCAGCCTTTCTGTGAACTGTAGACTGCTTCCTGTTATTGGAACCGGTAACATGACCGATCATCGCTTGATTTCAGCAATGTCGGGGTCAGAACCGGGGCGTCAACCAGAACTCGCACTCAAACGACATACATCAGCAGCCGCCTCCGCCGCCAATCTGAGTGCCTTGGCGTACCTCCGTGCGACTGTGTGACGTCAGACCTGTCAGCGTGAGAGCCAATCAAAACAGCGCGGCCGATAGAGTGCGCCAGTGACAGTACTGACTGGCTGGAGCCATCTGACTCAGTGATTGGTGATGAAGTTGGCGGGCTCACGAGTGAGACTGCTGACATGGGAGACACCCGGGACTCGCGAGAGCCCGGATGCAGGTGGCGATGGACGCAAAAGATCGCCAATACTCGGCGCTTCTCGCGCTCAGCTGTGATGATCAGTGCTACTTCAAGCTCGCTTTGTGGATGATGATGGCAGCAGTCCGACCACAATGACGACTATAAGTGCGTGAGATTTTGTTATGCGTATCGTACACAATGCTTTTGCGCTGAATGTGTGTCAGCGTGGGAGGCATAAACTGCTTCGGATGATGAGTTGATTGTACGCTGGATAATCATGTCATATTCCGTTCGCCGTGAGAGTGAAGTGAGCTGTTGTGAAGGCCCGTCTGGTCACTGGTGTCTTCCATGTTTGGGGCGTGTGTGCCGGGCTGACCCCGGCACGAGGAAGGCTCTAGAGCAGCAGCTGGCGTCAACCGGACGTTCTATAACGGGTGCTGAAGAATGGGTGGGTGACCACTGACCAGTGCCGCCGGGACCGCTGGGTCTGCCCCCAGGGGCCCGTACGCCACCCTCGGGTAGGTGGCAGCGACGATCATTTGACACGATGCTCAGCTCATGCGGGCATCCTGTATATGAGCCGTAGATGTGAGGTACTATGTGCTGAATTGACTTCATAATAACAAATATCATCGAGTATCACACTGTCTATTATCACTGTAATGTCGTTAATCGTGAGCTCAACAGATAACAGACAAGAGTTCACCATTGCTACCAATTCTGTGCCCCGACCACCTAACTTTCTTGTCTCCTCTCCTACCTGCTGAGCGTATTCACGATTCAAGTATGCATCCGCTTGGCCTTGGCCACTAGCCCTTGTCCCCCCCCCCGACACTCTGGCCCTCCCTGGTAGCTCAGTTTGAAAGAAGGTTGGATCTCAAACCTGACTGGGGTGGTAAGAGCTCGGTTCGAGCCGTCTAGGTGACTGACATTTCTCCTCACTGGGACGATCTGGCAGTCAGTAGCAGTGATTTCATTAAGGAACAGACGATTATGGTGAGACGCCAAGCATGACTTTATTTGCCGTCGACCTGTGGACCGCGTAGTTCCCGTTCTGTTGGAGGGTACAAAGGCCCGTGCAGTTGTGCGGCAATGTCGATTCAACGTGGATATCTACATTACCAATTGTCATTCATCTTATATCTTAGATATAGATAGCATGATCATCTTAGATACAGCTATCGGAAAAGTAACGAAAAGCAGCATTTATCTTTGAGCAGCGTGTATATTGTCAACTGAGCCCCATAACACACACCCCACCAAGATAACATGTCGATGGTAAAACCACTCATCACGAAATCACAACGGCCCGAGGGCCAGGAGTGGTCACCGTTTGCATCGCATCAACACCGCGCAATGAAAGTCACAGCGAACACAAGACACCAACCTAATGAAGGCCTGTCTCAATAGCCTTGGACCGCTGCGTCCTTCGATGGCTAAACACGGGGACGGTACAGACCAAACCAAATCCACATGACAGAGGCAAGAACATCGAAACCCGCTTCCCGCATGGCTATTCAGGGCAGCTTTATTTTACACGTTTCCGAAAGATGGCTGTAGGAATACCTTGAAAGAATAACAACCAAGGCATCGATCCAAATCTATCGTCTTGCTCCTTGCGAGACACACAATGAGCACGGTATCATTGAAGTAACAGTGACCTTTCCACTTACGATAGACAATCCTGTCGTCATTCGTTTTTAAAGCCATATAAACTCAAACACTCAAGCATCTTGGTCTGGTGAATCCTGGTTCATCCAGATCCTGGTTATCTCCTCAAAGTTCCTGGTCATCTGAAAGCTCCAGTATCTAGCACTTCTACGATAATGAACATAACATGACATTTCCGCAGACAAATGACTCCCGTCCCATCCTCCCGCATACAACATATCACCCACGAACCCAACGTATACCTTCCACTTCCTACCCAGTCTCCAGTGAGACGACTCAATTCGAGGGTGTCTGTGGAGGGCCGGCTGTCCTCGGGTCGGCTGGGGCCTCCAGGTCGTGACAGCAGTGTACCACCCAGCGGGCGTTCGGGTTCTCTTGGTAACAGTCGAGAAGCACCGCGCAGTGCTCCAGGCGCCGCTCGCCTGAGGAACGCCGCAGGAGGGGCTCAGTCAAATGAGCGGGTAATTGCAGTGTACACCGGACGGGTTGAATGGGTATTACAAATTTTATGGTATCGATATATTCACGCAGACGTGTTATAATGACAGACGGAATTTCTATGGAACTTCTCACAAAATGCACAAGCTTGATGTCAAACATTTGTCGAGGAAACAGCAAACAAGGTGACTAAGACGCACTGAATTGCGAGCGAGGAAGCCATACTGAGAAGAACATGTTGATATCATCGACGTGAAGCTCGATCCCACCTACCTATGTTTCCGCCGTGCTCGTGCAGGAAGTGGGTCTGCAGTGCCGTCGCCAAGTCGACCCTCCGTCTGAGGCTGCAGACGGTGCCGACCTCCGGTGACGGCGCCGTCGAGTGACGCCGCCGCTCCTGACGAACTCGACAGGAGGTGTCCGGCAGCGCCACCTCGCGGAGACAGCTGGCGGACAGGGGGCGGCACCGTCAGGGGAATACTCAACATGGAACCTTCAACGCCAGCATAGGACACGAACACCAGAAGAACGTTATCGTTATAGCAACAGCACGACCGTGCCTATCAATCAACTGCGGTCTCATCTTTTGCATGCATTTAACATCGCCCTACCAGATCATCACTCCAAGACAAAAAAAAAAAAACGTTCCACCGATCCCCTCTAGGCTCTAAATCCCGGGTGTCTCCGCTCGATCGTTTCCGCAGTAGGGACCCACCTGGCGACCAGGTCCCCGGCGGTAGTGTCTGCCTCCAGCCGGATGGGCCAGCTGGGCCGTCCGAACTGATCAGCCGACACGCGCAGTACTCCCTCCTGAAAGTCCACCTCGTTATCGATCTTCCTCACGATGGCCGTGTCCCGGCGTCGGAGCAGCTTCTTCATCTGGGTCAGAGAAAAAGAAAGAGAGAAAGAAAAAAGTCAGAAGAGTCGGATATGGTAACATCTCGACGTGACGAGGATCAGTAGACATAAAACACACGCTAACAGAGGTCATCACTATTTAAGCCGATTTTTTTTTTTAATTTTGCATCAAGCGCATCTTTACTCACCGGTCCAGCCGAGTCGCGTCTGGCCCGTTCGTACAGCTCCTCCTCGTGCTGGTGCCGCACCTGACGCACAAACTGGGGCGGCACCAGCCACAGCTGCTCGCGCTGCTGCACCAGTCGCCGCACCACGCGAGACGTCACAGCCGCGAACTGGATCTGCGGGTCGGTCACAAAGGTCAACGGGCGGGTTAGGCAGGGTCAGGAGTCGACCGTGTCAACCACAGAGGTGAGCTGCGTCACCCCGCTAACAAGAACCGCTCGTCGTTCAGCTAGCCAGTCGTAATAAAAATGCTCGCTGCATGAACAACTAAAGCCATTTCTGGATATGTCTCTTTAGTCGTGAAGCAGCACTGGAATGTTGGTCAGCTCTACAGTCTCCCCTCACCTCAGCTGTGATGTCCTTCTGCCGCCGTCTGGCCGGCGGGATGAGGTTGGGCGCCATGATCATGGCCACGTTCTCCAGCGACATCTTGTTGGTCCGCTCTTGGGCGGCGATGGCGGCCAAGAAGTCCAGCAGGCGCCGCAGCAGGGCGCGGTTGGCCGGTGGCAGTCTCAGACAGAGCAGCGAGAGCGCCTGCAGCTGGTCCGGACCGGCCGGCAGCGCGTCCGACCGGTAGAACGCGTCCACACTCTCGTCGGTGAGCAGCGGCGCCGGCAGCTGGCGCAGCAGCTGCTTCAGCAGCGCTGCCGCGTCGTTTGCGCTGCTGGCGCGCAGGGCCGCCTCCACCGCCGCCAGGTGGCTGTAGAACTGATCGTCGATCAGCTGGCGCAGCTGCTCGGTCTTACCGCGGTGGCCAGGCACGCGCAGAAGGCCCTCCTCGCGCACACCGTGCCGCTCCAGGTGCGTCAGGATCGTCTCAAAGACGAGCGGCACCGGCTGGGCGCGCGCCAGCCGCTGCAGGTCACGTTTCAGCAGCGAGCCGAGCGAGGCACCGAACACCGCCCCCTCGGCACTGGAGCGAGCTCCGAGCCGGCGCCGGCGCGCCTTCCGGCGGCTGTAGCTGAGACCGTGCTCGTCAAACAGTCCGGTGAGCTCTAGCAGCGCCAGCTTCTGCACACGCACCACGTCTGACTCTGAGAGGTCGCAGAGCCGCGTCCGGCCGAGCCGCTCTTCCAGGGAGAGCTGTGGAGGAGACGGGACGGCGGGTTAGAGCAGAGCAGTTGGGTCGTGGCACGATAGGCTACGACTTTAGGCATTTCTCTAAAGAACGGCGCCGGCACCTCAGCAGGCCGGACAGGGGCCGGAGCGACCGGTCTCCGAAAATGTAAGAATATAGCCTAGTCCAGTCACGTAACTCCTCCAAAGGAAGTTGCAGACTAGTCAGTAGTCACGTCATGGAAACATGCGCACAAACACGGTCTCAGATGACTGACTGACAGGACCTAAATGTGTGAACTAGCATGATAAACGATCAATAATCGCAGTCATGGCTGAACAAAGCACCCGCTCCATAGCCCAAACTCTCCATAACCAGCAGTGAGAACGGGCTAATGCTGACGGGGACGTGTGATAAGGTACAAACGGTGTCGTTTTCCCAGGGCGGCCGAGCCTCCCGTTAGAGGCGTTTGATTACCGCGGTGCGGCTAACCGTTACGTCACACCGGCCGGGCGCCGCCTCCCACGGCGGCGTCACGGCCGCTGCCGGCCGTAACACAACCTGCTATTAGTGAATACCGGCGCCGCGCGGCCGAGCCCGGCTCCGCTGCACTCTCTTCACGGCGCATACCGGGCACGGCAGCGTGCACGGGCCGACAATACGTGCCGTGCACGGCGCCGAGCCCGTTAGCCCGTGAGCGGCGCCGGCGCTCGTCGCCTCTTCTCACCGTGGCTGTCCTGGAGACCGCAGGTCGGACGGCGGGGGCGGCAGGGGCGGCGCTGGTCGGGGCGGCAGGGGTGGAGGCTCGCCGGCTGACCACTGGGTGGCGAACGGCCGGCACCTCTGCAGGCCGGACAGGGGCCGGAGCGACCGGCCGCCGGGGACGCCGCACCGAGCCCACCGACTGGAAAGAGACCGTCTCGATGCCTGCGGAGGGTCACACGTGGCGTCAGTGAAATTGCACGTAGTTGGACTCAATAAACGACTCCGCGGTGGTCCGTAGTCGGGGCAGCGGTCTGTCGTCTAATGTCAGGTGATATGACATGATGGGTAGAACATGTGTTTATAACTAGCCGTGGTATTTTGGTCGATACCGAAAACATTTTTCCCCAGTACCTACATCCTTGCAGGCTAAAACAAAACAACTCTCCACCAATCGGCAATGGTAAGCCCATTTATCTCCATTCATTCAAGAGGCCCCGACTAATGATCAGGTATCACTAACGTACCGCATCTCGATCATATAATTTCTTATGAAGCAATCGCTCACTGAGTCCGTTAGCTGAGCTGAAACAAACCAAATGAGCCCCAAAACCCTCGAAGATCTTTTACGATTGAGTAAACGGTCCCCTGTCAAGTATATTGGACCATCTCTCCAGGCCTGTGCCAT